TATACTACACACTAAAAAGCGCTAGCGTAGTGTAATAGTAGTATAGTGTAGTATTAGTATAGAATAATATACAGTAGTATAGTTTTATAGTTTCTATAAACTCCTAAGTTAATTCTGTCTTGAATTTATTTTAGCCTTGTTGACATGTCTTTATAGCAATACATTTGCCTGGACGAGTTCATTGTGGGTCAGAAATGTTCATAATAGATAAAGTTAAAGCTGAAAATACATTTCAATAAGCTTTACAGAAATAGTAAATTCAATAAAAACTTAAATTTCGTTATCTTGATTTTATTAGTTATCTACCGAGATGAAAAGCAAATACTAAAATTAAATCATATTCGGAGAAAACATTTTCCAAACAGGACGAACAAACGTGAATCAAAGTGAATGCATTGATTAAGTTTCCAACTTATTTTTACTTTAAATCGCTGGAATTTTCTCTCAATGGCCTACATATGATAGAGATATTTATTCATATTAAATGTAAATAAGAGGTATCTACAACAGGCCCTAAGTTACAGCTGAAGGCCTCGCGCTACTACTATACAGTTTAGATCTTGCGCTTTTAAATTTAACTAAATTCGACTCTGCTCCACAAATTGAAGGATTTTAAAAGCAAAATCAAACTTGCAAAGGTCAAAAACTCTTCAAACAGGACAGAATATTTAAGAACTAGAGCCTTAAACTAGCATCAAGCTGTGTACAGTACAACTACAAGCAGACTTACTTCTTTTTAGCAACACTCCTTAAGTAAAGTAAAAGTAAGTTCTACAGAAGATAGCAATGAACACAATGCTGCGAATTTTATGTAATAAACATGTAATTTCGACAAAAGAATCGATAAAAATACTTCTTACAGAAATATTTATTGTGTAGAATGTAAATCACTAACAAGTATTGACAGAACCAGATGCAGATAATTGTGATAATTTCACTACATGAATATTCAATTAACTGTACGAGTATACTGTAGACTGTAGAACCTAATTAATAACTAATTAGCAAGATTTTTCTTAAAATACTTGTTAAATATTTATTAATGCAGCTTTCAGATCTAACCTTCCATCAATTAATCAAAGAATTCCGACCCCAAAAATAAAAAAGACACGAATTACTATTTAAAGAACATTTTTATGTTGTTTAAAGAATTTATATTATTAAATTCGTTATATTTCAATAATAAAATGACAAAAACTGGAGTAATTTTGCAGGGAATCAATTTTATTGGATGACTTTGAAAGGCATAACTATATATCTATACATTGAATAGATATGGGGATTACATTTTAGTGAATGCCATAAAAGCCCTATTACCTCTTATCATATTAAGAAAATAAAAAAAAAAGATTTTAATACAGGAAAAATGTCTTTTATGTAGTAAACTATATAAATTGGCTTTAACTATAGTTAAGAAGGGTGAGGATTTAGAGAAAAAATAAGGTCACATAAAGCAGCTCCTTACATTCTTTCTCAAATGACAAGTACATAAAATACTCTGTTTAATAGCCTCTTATAAATACTATAGTTTTATATATTAAGGAGTTATTCATTAAGATTTTATAGAATAAATCTAAGTTCATCAACCAAATACGGGCATAAAATATGAAAACAAAAATATATTTTGCATAGTTTTAAATACCTTTAATGACTATTAAATTATATTTAAAAGAATCCAAGATAAACTTTAAAATTAATTAAAATTTAATAAAATTTGACAATTAAGTGATAGCAGGCTCGAAAAGAGGGCTTATCAAATAATTTTTCCAGCAGTCATCTGACACTCTTCAATTTGGACCCGTTACAAACTTAATTACCAAATTGGCATTTAAAATAGAAGGCCTGTAGACATAGTATTACAAATTTAATTTCGGGACCTTTCTATGTCTACAGGCTTTATTTTTAGGTATAAAAGACCCCAAAATGTAATATTTTAAGTAATAAAAAAAACACGATACGAATAGGATAGAAATTAAATACATCTTTTGATAAGTAGAAAAACAAAAAATTCTATTAGAAATCTGGTTTTATTTTGGATCAAAATGTCCAAAAATTTAAATATTAATAAATAAATAGTCGAGATGTAATTCAGGATTAAGTTCAGGATTCAAGTGGATAAATTCGACATTGGAGAAAGTTAAATTTCGGATTCAGGCGAATTAATTCGGGATTTATGAGAATAAATACAAGATGCAGGAAAGCTAAATTCAGGATTCAATACATTAACGATTGAAGAGAGTCACTTATTGTAACGCTAATGTAACACGAGAGACACGACGGAATATTTACACGGTTGAGCAAATATGTAAACACACAAAAATAGGATCATAAATGCAAACACTTCAACAAAATGGCACCGATTAACCGTACATTACAAGCCAATAAAATGAAAGAAAAAAAAGAAAAGAAAAGAAAAAAATATATATATTTTTTCGTTAGAGTTTCTCATCGATTTTTCTACAAAAATTTTTGTAGTCATTCTGGACTTTTCCCATCAATTACTACAGATGATAACGGGAAATGACACTCAGAGTGCCTGGAGAAAGCTAATATTAAACCTGAAAATTACTTTCTACTTTATATATTGATAATTTTAGGTAAAAAACTTTATAGATTTTTTAAATCGATATATATATATAATTTTAAAAATTTTGTAATTAATTAATTAAATCAGAGACAAAAACTATTTGAAATTAAGCAAATGTTTCGATTATCGTCGATAATTCAATTTAAACTGGCAACACTTAAACACATTTTCAAATGTTTACTTTTAACGTTCAAATATTATTTATAACTTTATTTATCGGTATTTTTAAAAATGCCTTCCAAGTTACATATTTTAGTTGCGCTCTAAATTGGAACAAGAATGAAAGAATCTTCAACATCTTCATCTTATTAAAATCTCCAAGAATCTAATAAGAAATGGGCACAGAAAAGATATAAATCTTGAAAGAATTGCTTACTTTCCGACATATTAATCGAGTTTATAAATTTATACGTCCTTTATAACAAACGTAAATGTCCAATTTCGACGATAATCCATTAACGTTGCGTGCAATCAACTCCAAATATGGTTATACAGTATTTGTAGTTTAAGACCCGACATATCGAGAAATTACAAAATACAATTTCATATATTGTGCCAAAGAATTTCACCGAATACTTGAAAAATGCAGATGAATATTATACAAATCCGCCATTTTATAATTTTAAGAAAACGATGAAATTTGCATAATTTATCCATGAATAAAGTAATTAGTGTTAGTAAGATACTTCTGCGAGTAATCTTCGAATGACCTCTCCAATTAAGCAAACTAGCAATAAAGGCTAAGTGTGTGTGTGTGTGTGTATATATATATATAGGAGAGTCACATCGGTCACGTCTAGACTGTTATAGTACTAAATGACTCGCTCGACTAGCGTATCACTCAGATAAAACTTGAGCACACAAAACAATGCAACAATGTAATTTGTCGCCGATTTTGGCACGTTTCGCCCGCTTCCATTGCTTGAATACACTTTTTACCGCGTGGAAGAAGAGGTAAACAATCTCTCTCTTGGCTAAAGATAAGAGAAACCGTGACTTGGATAGAAATCGAAGCATTGACTTATCGAACGATAAGACTATCGGACAACCAGGAGGAAATCAACGACCTAACTAGCTTCTGAATTGGTTTATTTATTTCAGATAGTGTCAGAATGGAGATTTTAGCTATGAATAATACAAGATTTTTACCTCGGGCATGTTTAAGGGCTAAATCGTATATGCAACCTATTCGTATCAAAGCGTTAAATAGAGCGAAAAGATTCCCCACTTTCTGTTATCACTATCAGAATTTTCTTTTTTCGTTTCGAATTACTAACTGGCAACACTTCTGCTTATTTTCAAATCTTCAATTGCGGTTGGCAACGCTTAATCCCATTTTCAAATTTTGAATTGTAGCTAACAAATAAAACTTAATTTTGAATATAACAAAAAGTGTTGCCAGGTATCTTTAAGTTTTAAAATTATATTCTCCGTGGATTTATTGGAAAAAAATAGAATAGGATAAATCCAACTGAAGACGTATGAAAAAATCATTTTATTCTGGACTGCGGAAGAGAATATTTTATTAAAAATATAATTTACTACATAAGATCCTGTACTTTTAGAAATATTTTTAAAAAAACGACACTGATTTCTTGATTCAGAGCCACGTTATCTTCATTAATTCACACTTAAATGGCAGAAGAGAGCCGAAAGAACGTCGACAAACGAGATCTTGTGTGACAGGTGGACAGAAATGGCTAACTTCCAATCATGATTTAATGCTTCCGTTAGACATTTTTATCTAGAAGAAACGTTTTAATTGTCCATCGCCGTGTAATTTGACGCTTTCCTATCTTCGAAGATTATTCCTAATCCCGTAATCCATTTCGTTGTCATAGAGACCAACAAAATCCCTGCGACGAAAGAAGAAAGAAAAGAAAAAACTGCAGAAAAGACATGCGGGCGAAGAGATAAAAAAAGAAATCCTTATTTTGAAAATATACGTAAACTCCAACATATCTAGAATTTTAACAATTTTCTTTCTTTTTTTTAAATTGCTTACAATAACAATAGAATAACAATTTATTCACAGGAAGATTGTAAAGAAAAACTATACGAAAGAATAAAAAATAACTGGACTATTAAGCTTAATTGAGCATTTCTAAAGGATGAAGATGAGCCGTTTCTGTATAATGTATCAGAATGGCTGCAGCGATAGGCGCGGGGTTTCTATGACTTTAGGGCAAGGAAGACCGGTCATCACAGCTATTGAAGTAGCTTCCAGATACTTCTTTTCTTTATGACAAATGGCAGATGGCCGCGCTACCGAAGCTAGCGGCAGTCGAAATCATTAAAGTTAGCTTCGTCATACTTGATTATTTTCTAATAAACACGCGAGCGAAGCGTGCAAAAATCGCTTCCTCTGCTAATTTGCATAACAATTTTTATTTTTTGGGGGTAAAAATCTTACTTGTTCCGGTTTTAAACCGCTCGGTACCCAAGTGTATTCTTCTAGAGCGCATCCACTATCGTCATCCGATTGTGATTGCCTCTGTTGTCCGTCTGCTGCTTGCAAAATCATCTTTGGATGGCTCCTATCCGTTTCCGATGCTGTGGTCGTGAGGGACATGTCGCCGTGCTCTTCGCGTGGACACTTACAATTCCTACAGATTTTCCTGGAAAAATTAAAAAATTCTGTAAATAATTTGACTAATATAATATAAAATATTACAAATTACAAAACTGGTCATTTAAATTTTTATATATTTCCATTTTTCAATTGGATTAAACAGGTTCCGTGCATCTTTTCTTTCATATTTTTTAAATTGTAGTGGAAAGTTGAACAGAGTGGTTTTGGCAAACTTTAGGGATTACTTTTTATACATTCTCAGATAAAATCTTTCATCTTTTCACGCTTTAGTTATCTTTACTTGATATCCAACTTAACAAGCAATCATCAAACACCCAAAAAAGCTCTCTGGATCGCCAAAAATTGTCGTTTTCGTATAATTTTAATGAATATTACTAAAATTAGAAGAGTTTATAATGATTTTACATACTTCTAGCTACCTGATACTCACTCCTTGATTAAAGTTGAGATATATGTAAGCTTAATTGATTTATCACAGGTGAATGTTTATGAATTTGCATAAATCAAACTTCTGTCATTTTAATATAGAAGAGATGTAATACCTGACTTATATTGTTAAGCGTAAAACGTTGATGAGCTAGGCCAAGTATATAGGGGAAGAGAAGATGGGGCAAGTAAGGGTAAATTATGGTAGCTAATAAACGGGAATGCATGACGCGGGTCTCAAAACTTCCATCAAATATCAATTTCGCTCCATTAAGTCTGAAGAATTTTAAAACATCTGGCATGGAAAAAAGAAGAAGAAGCTGAAAGTGAAGAAAGAAGGAAGATATTTTGATATTTATTATACTTCTCCTCCTTTTCCCAACCAGATTCTGTTACTAGAATGGAATATATTTAAAATAATCAATAGCAAATCATCAGAAAATGAAATTAACAAAAGGAAATTTAACAATTCTCTCCGTGAATTTTCCAAATTTAATTCCATTTTTTTCGCGTTTTTATCTATTTAAAACAATAAATAAATAAAAAACACGAACTAATTTTGAAGTGTATAAGTACTCGATGCAGTTTGAAAAGGCAAACTCATGACTAATTTGGAAAATCGATATAATAACCCTCTAGAGCATTGGATAAGGTTTATGTATTTGTGACTAAAATTGGTGTTACGGAGAAATTCAGAAGGGAATAAGTTTAAAGAGATGTAACGGGATGATGAGTTTCATTCTTCCATTTTCCCCCTCCAATTATTACAAAGATGCAGAAGCAAAGATCTTGAATCTGTTTCCATCTATAACTCCCACATAATGATTTTTGCCTATGGCCTTGAGGAACTAAGCAAATGTCTCTTAATAACAGACCACAAGTAGTGAGACGGAAAAATGAGCCATTTATCATCTTCCTTAGACAGTGATTTAAGAAGGAAGAAAAAAGAAACAAAGAATAATCTTTCAATATTTTCTTATGGAATTATAGGAGATATCCTTTACGAAATCTAATCGGTGATACGTTTATTCAAAATTAATATCCTTTGTTTGATTTATATCAAATAAAATTAAATTACTGATGCTATATAATAATTTATCGTAAGGGTCTAATCGTGATAGACGTAAAGAGGAATTGTTTTATGATTAATATCAATAAAATTCTCTTCTTTTCGCTCTTCTTCGCAATTCAAACAAAGTAGTGATACTAAAACTACTTTATTCTGACCAGGAAAATAAATTTCTAGTTCAAAATTAAGGTGTTATACTTTACATAAGAATAAAAACATTATTTTTAAAAAAATTATAAAGATTTAGGTCGACAGAAGATATTCTTCCTTTATTTTTCGTATCGACATACAGACTAACAATCTACAGATTAACTTCATTTCTTTCTTTTTTCTTTTTCTGGAGGATAAACAGGATTCAATACATTAACTGTAAAATTAATGTAAAAAAAACGAATGCAGGTAACGCGCATTTTTAAGCATAAGTCAATAAATAAATTAAAAAAAACTTATTTTGAATCGTTTGCAAAACAATTTTTAACATTTTGCTTTAAAAAAGTAACAATTTTGCACATTTAAAAGCAGCAAATTAAGTAAAGCTAGTGGTAGTCTACTATGTATTTTGACTGTTCTTCGACTTATTTTCCTATATTTATAGTTAATATAAAACAGGTTTAAGAATAGACCGTGTCATTTATTTTGATTAAGTAAGTATGTAATTAAATTCTCATTTTAATAGACTTAATAGAAAAAAAGAAGAAGAAGAAGCACACTATAGATCAAGTCAAAATTCTGACTTAATTATAGTAGAAGATACTTCTAGGTCAACATATCATTAACAACTATAAGAGATTCCTACCGCAGTGTTAGCAAATTAAAAAATAATTATACTAAAATTGCTAAGTTTAATGTGTAGAATGACGAGTCATAATTAAAAAGATCACATAGATTTAACGCTATAAAAAAATAAATAAATAAATAAAAATTCATTTGACAATGAACCAGTCCAACAAAATATTAAATGTGTAGATGGCTAGACACACCCCTCACGGTAGAGTCAATTAAGTTAGAGTCATGTGGAATGACAATCGCTCTTACAAATGGTGGCTACCTGGTTATTATGCTTCGTGTCCACACCTGAATCTGTAGTTATTTGTTCACTCGGGTTTTTTGCCTACTTGTTTTTAGTTTTTTTTTCAACTTTTATCTACATAAAAATCCGGTATGTGGGTATCCAAATCGACACGTTTTGCCACCTGACTCGTTCCGAATTCCTCAAAATCCTTCAAGTAATATATCTTCGCATAAATTATAACACGTAAGTAGAAGAAAAAAAGGCTCAATTACTTGACATTTAAAACACGTCTGCTGTCCTTCTATCGGCCAATAGCCTTTTATAGGTCGATAAGCATCACAAGAATACATTGAAAGTTTTCTCACTAACAAACAATCGTTATACAAAAGGCTCCTAACGAGCAATCTAAGAGAATATGGGGTATGAGACACGACAGTCGTATATTTTGAATGAAATAGAAGAGTCCATTAATAATGGTGTTCCGGGGCCAGTCTGTGTAGTAGATAACGAGAGTATGGGGTTGGTTTTACATCTCGAGATATAACTAGAAGCATCAACATTGCTTTAACATTCACGTCTCGTCATTAATAACTCACAAGACTTTATATATTTTCGTCCTAACGTGCGATTATAATGTCACTTTATACGTCCCTAGCCATACGAGAACAATGTTTAGAACGTACAAATGACCTCGAATTTTATTTTAATTTATGAGTTTTTGACTTTAATTTAAACAACAGAGACTTTTAAAACGTTACCGATTTATATCAACTGGTCATTAGTGTGCGAGCTTTGTTAAATTCGTAATTCTTTTAACCTATATTTATTGAAGTTTGAGATCTTCCCATCGCTCCGATTATAACAGGCTCCGTTTGTCATCTTGGGGGTAATTTTCTTTGATTATGAAGAGAAGGCATTTTACAGGAAGTCTATCATTATTTGTCACTCCCAACCTGACAACGTATTCAGCTAGAATAAAATGCTTCGGGCATCTTTTCTGTCAAGTCGGCAATGACATTGAAGAGTTAGAAATTACAATTTACACAATCCGGACTTATTACAATAGGTTATGTAGTTCATTGCCTGGTTTACATCTGGCATCTTTTGCCTAAAAGTAACAAGACTTAGAAACGTAAGTTAGCTAATAAACGGATCTGCAATATGGAAGGACTTCACTCGAGATAAATTGGAAAACAGGAAGAAAAAAAATGTAATAAAAACTTACTCAACACGATTCATCTGTACGTTCTTTCTGCTGTAAGCCTGCCTGTACACTTTGTACTGATCTCCGTATATCCAACATACCTTCCACCATTGGCGAAACACTAGTACAGATTTTGCATTTGTCGCAGTAGTGATACCATTTGGTCTGGATGGCATTTTTGACATTAAACTTTTATAACTTCACATTCTAAAAATAATTCATATTGCGTACCGAATTTTCTTCTTTCCTCCTCTGTCAGTAACGAAATTACCCTTTTGAGAAGAATCCCCCCGTTTATGACTTAGTCGCACTTATGTCACTGCTACTGTATATATACCAACTGACGTCTTACACACCCAAACACGTGTCCGACAAAACATTTCTTGTCAACTTTATCTTCATCTCCTGTTGTGGCGTGGGGCGAGAGCCACTAGCAAGTTCACTGATCTGGCAGATGTCGAGAAATATATCCTTTTAGTATCCGGATGAAACGACGTGTGAAGAACATTTCGGCAATATTAAGGAAGACGGAACGAAAAATCCACCAATTACATCGGTCGAAAACACAGACCAAAACATTACAAAACTAATTGAACAGATTGTCAGCATCTAATGAATCGCACACTTCACGCAGGAACTATTGTAAAGAAGAGAGTTCGACTATTTCTTCGCTGGTCCTACATCTACCTGCTTATTACCTGGTCTGGCTGGAGCAGTCTATCCAGAAGGTGGACCACAGGTGGAGAGGGTGGGACACGGAGGGGCCGAGCGGAACTTCCGCCGAATAAACGTGTCATTGTCATTACATCCTGTGGACAATGGCATCGTTGGTTTTTGGTATGGGAATAGATTCTTTACCATGGATACGGCTCGAGGCAACAGATGTTCCTCTGTTTACCTTTCCATTTTAATCCTGTTTACTATTTATATTCTCAAGAAAGGACCGCGAAAATAATTTATTTTCGCAACTTGTCATTTTTCGCGAATTGTCTCTCCCATTCTTTTATTAATATTGGAAGCATTTTTTTGAAAGATTCGACCAACAATGAGCTCATTTATCAAGTGAAAAATTTCTGTAGAACAGCCTACCTGCCTAATCTTTTATAATAACCAGTTTCGATTCGCTTCGTCGTAAAAGATATCCTTTAAATTAAATTATCAAAAACATTATGAAAAATCGAATCTTTAAATCTCTTCTTCCATTTAAATATGCGTATCCGCCATTAAAGAACTCGTTTGATATATAAAAATATGATAATCGATTGTAAATATTCATTACTTTAACAAGATCTGTTAATTTTAAATTCAGTACGTTTAATCTTCGAACAAGTTCCGATTTGTTACTTAAGAAACCGTAAAACCTTTACAGTAAATTAAAGAAAACTGAAAAAAAAAGAAGTTGCTTCTTTGCAGCTGGTTGCATAACGCCTCGAGCTTAGAACATAATTTATAAAATTAAAGATGTAAAATGGTTTTAAAGTCAAAGGTATCTAACATTTGCGATATTCTTTTAAGTATAAAAAGGGTTTAGAATTTCAAGAAGCATCCTAGTTTTCGTGTTGATGAGACAAATACCGCGAAGATTCGGAGGCCCTCAGCAGGGACGTCACGGGAGGGGCAGTAGACTCTTAGCTGCTGTAATTACAGAGTCCAACATTACGTCAACAGCACGCTCATAAACATCTCTTAGCAGAGGGGCAGTCGGACATTCCTGTCTTTCTCTGGTTCAGGTTTGCATTCCGATATCTTCCCCTACGAAGGTATTTGGAGGCCGACCAAGTTGTTGCGACGAATACCAAGATTGAACCCGCCTAACTCGGATGCCGCTGCCACTTGTTGATGATACCTACTCACTAAATCAACATTTTCAATCCGATTTTAAAGCGTTGAACAACTAATTTAGTGTATTATTCTCCCTTCTTGCAGTTCGTTCGTTCCTTCCACGCCCCGACGTCCTACCCGCTTTTTTGGAGAAGCAGCACGTTAAGCCCAACCTTCCCTGACAGGAAGGCAGTTTTTTTTTCTTCTTCTTCTTTCTAGGCCGGCGAGAAAGAATGTGCATTAGATGGAAAGAAGCGATTAACCTGACGGTTAAGGTGGAGTCTTTTTTTTGAGGTCTGAACGGGAGCTATTAAAAAATAACCGAGAGCGTTATCAAAAAATGTGCACAATCTATTGACAAGATGACCCCAAACTGATATATCGATAAACAAGATGTACACGAGTCTACTTAAACAGATCTTTGCGATCAGATCGAATGATTTTGATTTAGGTGTGTCCGAATAAAATGCTTTTATTCATGATACACGTGTATGTATACACGATCAAACCCCACCGATAAGAGAGGAGATATTTTTCAAAGCATCCAATAGAAAAGTATATATGTATATAGATAGATAAAAAAAGAAAGTATATTTCGACAATCTCATCATATAGACAGTCATAAATTTTAAATCTTGTCCCGTACAATCCTCACCCAATTTCTAAGAACGGGAGGTACTGGTACGTGATTCGCATAATACGGATATTCACTACACCCTTTCTTAATAATTTGTCTTGTTCGACATCTATGTAAAAAGCTTCTTTCGTGAATTTCTGGAGGCAATTATAGTTGTTTCGTGTCAAAATCACTAGTTGAAAAACAGTTCCTTCGTTTTAATGCTAAATGCCCTTAGTAACATAAATCGAATCGTTCCGAAAGTCGCGATTAAATAGGTCACGTTGATAAATAGGCATTTAAGAGAGGATACATCAATAGAAAAATAACGCGACCTACTTTATACAGTAGATTCGATCGAAAAATATAGCAGAAAAATAATTTTTCGAGGTTTCACTTGTAGAAAACACCATTTAATTCGCTTACAGCTCGACGGAACTGCAGCTTTATTGACTTAAAACATTCCGAGCCAAGCCACAAATTCGACTCTTGAACTGTGATAAACCGGCGACGGAGTATTTAAACTCGAATAACCGACGATTATTTCTTAAATGTGATTCCTAAAAACCACTAATTGGAAGCATTAAAAAACTATAGCTACGTTAATTTATCGATCATTCGTTCTGAGAATTGGATAACTTAGCCCGGAGCTTATTATCAATGCTCCTTTGTGCGGAAGACATCTTAAAGGTAAGGATAAATTCGTATAAAGACAATATATGCAAATAATTTCCACGAAAATAATGATGTTGTGTTGTTTTACACCTTATAAAGGTTAAGAACCCTGCAGAGACGATATTTAAAAAAAAAAAATTAACACCGCAACACAAAGTCGCCGTACAGAAATGATGCATAAAAAATATAATTATTCAGAAGATGGCATCACTGAATTCAAAAATCGACTCCTGTCGCCATCTAGTAATAAAGATATGCAACTTTTGTTAATCTTTTTAACGTAAAATTTATATGTTTATGCATATAAAAAGAAGTGTCGATATAACGCGAGTAATTTATAGTTATAAAAGCATTAAGGCAACTCCAATTAATCACGCAACATAATACTAACCGAGTTTAGTGAGCAACAAAAGGGGGAGAAGAAGAAAATTATGAAACTTTAAATCGATCAAAATAACACGCTCATACATATAAATTACCGTATTTCCATCCACTCCATTACCTGAGAGTGGTGAGGATCGGTAATTTAATGGCAATAATTTACTCAAAATTGTATAACGCTCGGAACAATTAACGGTACATTACTATACAAGTGGTTCCCTACTGACTCACAACTACAAGTATCGATTGTAGAAAAGAGCTAAGTTAAATCTCTTACGTCAATATTACTCTCGCACAGTTCCCGACTGGTCGAGTTGACAGAAGGATTTAAATTTCTGTGACAAGAGCTGTACAAATAAAGCTTAACCGCAACTCGACTTTAATAATTTTCTAGACGAATCGAATATAGCTAATTCGTCTCTATCGAACGTTGGCTACAGTACTAATTAGGAAAATTCCGTTTTAAATACTGTCCTGTAAGAATTAGGGGAGGTGAAAAACGTACTTTTCAATTGGTAGCTCGCGAGCGACGTTTCATGTTGTAAGAGTGTGTGTGGAGTAATCGTTGTTGCGTCGAACCTCAAAAGGGAGATTTACGATGTTATCCGATGTTTATAATTGTTTTTATTGATTTATTTTTGTAAAAAGAGTATTTTTTAAAAGTTATTGTGACTTATTTTTCGACGTAAAATGGTAAAAAGTGCTGTTTTCTAAGCGGTAGTTCGCGAGCGACTTCGGATATTGTAAAAGTGAGTCGGGTAGAAAGAGATTGAGAAGTAGTGTTATGAAGGGAGATTTATGTTGTTATTCAATGTATAAAAGTGTTTTCAATTGTTTATATTGGTAAAAGATACCTTTTTTTATGTCATTATACTTATTTTTCAAAGCTAATTAAGAGTTTTTCAAGAAAAAAAAAACAAAAGCTTAAAATAATGAGTTCAAATATCTTGCAGAACCCGATGCTCTTCCTCCCGATAAACACGAGGTTAAAGTTCATATTTTGGGGTGTCATTTGCTTACTAACAAATCGTCCATTCAGTCACTTCACGAAGTTGAAACACAGTTTTATTTATACACAATCTCTCACATAAACTGCCCCGCTTTAGCTATACAATTCCATAATTAACGACAGAAAAAAGGGGGGATAGAGAGCATTAAAAGTAAGAATTTTGATTGAAAATGTTACAAAGAAGAAAATATTAAAGCAGGGGGTTATTCATATCGCGATCTTAACAATAAATCTATTTCTGACAGCGGCTTGGCCTTAGACGTATTAAACATCGTTTTACAATGCAGGCGCCTATTAAGGGCACATTCCCGAAAATTCGAGAGTTGTATGGTCCCGTGTATATTTGAAATTTCTGCCACTAGGGGGCAGCGATAATCCTCCGTCACTCCTCCATTGGAGGGATGTCTATAAAGGAAGCATCGTACAGTTTCTCATTTGCATACCGTCATGATTTAAAAGCGACAGATATGAAAGGACAGCTGGACCTAATTGTAACATCGCCCCTTGAGGCCATAAACTGAACTGAGTCGTAATCAAACTACACACTACCGTAAGATGGCTGATATTAAGCCCTGGCTACGGATTTTAAACTCTCTCGCTCACTCTCTTGTTGCCATGGTGATAAGCAATAAGCTCGGATATGATTTAAGTCGATGGAAAAGTGGAGAGAGAGAGGGGGGACGAGAAAATATATAAAAAAATAATAAAGTAAAATATATATATATATCGGGTATTATTATTGGTTAGATCCCGAGTTTAAGCAATGAAAATCAAATACATTACTCGCTAAGCGTGGCACTCGTCCAACAAGGTAGAGAGGTCAGTTCGGTAATGGAAAAAGGCAATTTATCGTTAAGACCCCGGTCATTTCATTACGTATAACAGTGGACAGGTCATTAGAAACGGGGTCGATAGAGTAGCGGGTGTAGAAACGCGCGTGTCAACGGGTGGTCCATCCCTCTTGATGATTATAGATAGACTATATGTGGAGAAAATGTTCGCTTCGGTAAAGAACGTCAGATGCTCAGTTTTTATCTACTTATATATCTGGATTCGAACGTCTGTATGTCTGTACCTTACCGTTACACATCGACACGTCTGTAGTGTGTGGATATGTGCGTGATAATGAGCAACCCGCCCCAAGTATTTATATATATGTGGAGAAAATATTCGGATTCTGTACATTCATCTAAGACGTCTGTACGTCGTCTCGTGACTTTCGATTATCCAGTATTTTCATCAGTGTTATATACACATTACAGTGTAAAAACGAGCTTGCTAACGGAGATCCATACATGAATATTTACAAATATACAGAAAAAATATTCGTGTATATAATTTTATCTATTCGTTTATGTGGATTAGAACGTCTGTATAGCGTAACATAATTTCTCTCGATTGTATTATACAGTATATCAGTGTGAATACAGTGTAGAGATGCGCGTGTCACGGGTGGACCATCTCCTAATGCTTACAAATATATGGAAAAAATATTCGAGTAAACAGCGTTACACGTACGAGTTTATCCATTTTTATGAACTCGAACGTCTGTTTGTCGAATCTAAGATTTTTCTCGACTATAATATACATCAGCATGTACCAACGGATGTTCTATCTTTAAATTTTACAAATATACGCAGAAAATATTCAAGCAATGTACACGCATTTTCATGTATTCGAGTTTGTAGCTTGAATTCCCCTCGACTATATTACACATTCCACAAACATTTCCGAATCTATACAAACGTGTATATTCCTATTGGAAATTAGATGATTTTTCTGTAAGCTTAAAGATGCGGCAGCGTGACTTCATTTAAAGTTTAAATACGACTTCCGGAATTGATGGCATTTCCGTGACGTTGGGCGCATGCTCTCGATTCCGGATCCGCCTTTTCTATGTCCACCGTCACGTGACTGGCGAACCGGTTGGGACGGGATGCGGGAATCGAAGAATATTCTCCCCCAAATTCTATTGTTTCTCTTACTGCTCCGAGCCATCACGTGACTCGGCCAAAGCTTTTCCTAATCCAGTTGCCATAGTAACGAAAACAAGAAAAGTTTGGAGGTAAATGAGCTATTAGCAGGGGAGCTCCGATACGGCTTAGGGTGCGAGGAAAGAGGAGAGCGTGCCAAGTGTCTCAATCAGGAGGTGTGGACGTCAAGTGAATTGATTCTCTGCCAGAAAGTGTGACGTGAGATGCCTG